TAGTTTTGCAAGGCCTTCTCTGCCCTAGAGTGCTGTGGCCTCTCCAAACTACAACTCCCAAGAGCCATGATCATTGTAGTGATGCCATTTTACAGCATGATGGGTGCAACCCCATACTACAACTCCCAGCATTCCATAGCATTGTTAAAAGTGCCTTCAATCTTCATTTAGCCTCCAGATTTAAAGGTGAATAAGGATGCATCCACTAGGAAGTGATGAAGTTTGATCCCACAGTGTCATGTCTTAATGGTTTGGGGACATTATCCAGAACGTTGGGAGTTGTAGTTTTATAAGGTTGTTCACCTTCTGCCCAAAGGTTGGTGCCTCCCCAAACTACAACTCCCACAATTCCATAGCATGGAATTAATTCTAGTGTAGATGCATCCAATTCATTGCAGTTGGAAACCTGTATAGCTGCCCAAGTTGTGATCTATAGAGTCCTGGGATTTCTAGTTCATTCATATATTCAGAACTCTGTGCAAAAAATAAACTTTGAGTCGCTTTTGGGGAGATAAATAAATATAATAACATATTGTATGGGACCTTGGGATTTGTAGTATATATATATATATATATGTATGTATATGTATATATTCTGAATTTCTCTGTGGTTTAAAAATAAACTTTGAGTCCCTCTGGGGAGATAAATAAATATAATAATAATGATATATTGTATGGGACCTTGGGATTTGTAGTTTACCTATATATATATATATATATATATATATATATAATTTCTCTGTGATTTAAAAATAAACTTTTGAGTCCCTTTGGAGAGATAAATAAATATAATAATAATAATAATAATAATAATAATAATAGGGATAATGGGACCTTGGGATTTGTAGTTTACCCATATATATATAATTTCTCTGTGGTTTAAAAATAAACTTTGAGTCCCTTTGGAGAGATAAATAAATATAATAAAAATATAATAATAATATATTGTACGGGACCTTGGGATTTGTAGTTTACCCATATATATATATAATATCTCTGTAGTTTAAAAATAAACTTTGAGTCCCTTTGGAGAGATAAATAAATATAATAATAATAATAATAATAATAATAATAATAATAATAATATATTGTATGGGACCTTGGGATTTGTAGTTTACCTATATATATATATATATATATATATATAATTTCTCTGTGATTTAAAAATGAGTCCCTTTGGAGAGATAAATATAATAATAATAATAATAATAATAATAATAATAATAATAATATATTGTATGGGACCTTGGGATTTGTAGTTTACCTATATATATATATATATATATATATATAATTTCTCTGTGATTTAAAAATAAACTTTTGAGTCCCTTTGGAGAGATAAATAAATATAATAATAATAATAATAATAATAATAATAGGGATAATGGGACCTTGGGATTTGTAATTTACCCATATATATATAATTTCTCTGTGGTTTAAAAATAAACTTTGAGTCCCTTTGAGGACTCAATACAATAATACAATAATAATATACTGTATGGGACCTTGGGAGTTGTGTTGTTGTTCATTCGTTCAGTCGTCTCCGACTCTTTGTGACCTCATGGACCAGCCCACGCCAGAGCTCCCTGTCGGCCATCACCACCCCCAGCTCCCTCAAGGTCAGTCCAGTCACTTCAAGGATGCCATCCATCCATCTTGCCCTTGGTCGGCCCCTCTTCCTTTTGCCTTCCACTTTCCCCAGCATAATTGTCTTCTCTAGGCTTTGCTTCTCCTCATGATGTGGCCAAAGTACTTCAACTTTGTCTCTAGTATCCTTCCCTCCAATGAGCAGTCGGGCTTTATTTCCTGGAGGATGGACTGGTTGGATCTTCTCGCAGTCCAAGGCACTCTCAACACTTTCCTCCAGCACCACAGCTCAAAAGCATCTTCCTTCGCTCAGCCTTCCCTAAGGTCCAGCTCTCACATCCGTAGGTGACTACAGGGAATACCATGGCTTTGACTAGGCGGATCTTTGTTGCCAGTCTGATGTCTCTACTCTTCACTATTTTATCAAGACTGGACATTGCTCTCCTCCCAAGAAGTAAGCATCTCCTGATTCCTGGCTGCAGTCTGCAATAATCTTTGCACCTAGAAATACAAAGTCTGTCACGGCCTCCACGTTTTCTCCCTCTATTTCCCAGTTGTCAATCATTCTTGTTGCCATAATCTTGGTTTTTTTGACGTTTAGCTGCAACCCGGCTTTTGCGCTTTCTTCTTTCACCTTGATTAGAAGACTCCTCAGCTCCTCCTCGCTTTCGGCCATCAGAGTGGTGTCATCTGCATATCTGAGGTTGTTAATGTTTCTTCCAGCAATTTTCACCCCAGCTTTGCATTCATCAAGCCCCGCACATCGCATGATGTGTTCTGCATACAGTTAAAAAGGTTGGGTGAGAGTATGCAGCCTTGCCGTATGCCTTTCCCAATCTTGAACCAGTCTGTTGTTCCGTGGTCAGTTCTGACTGTTGCTACTTGGTCCTTGGGAGTTGTAGTTTACCTATATATATATATATATATATATTCTGAATTTCTCTGTGGTTTTACATAATCTTATTTTGGATTCCCCCACCAAACCCCCCCCCCTCATATTTTCCAGTATAAAATATTTAATATTTAATAATATAATATATTATATATTAATATATACCCCAACATATATTTTCCAACATATAATAAAATGTCAAATTATGTGTGTCTATATGTATGCATGTATGTGTTTGTGTATATATTGTAAAAACAATTGTAAAAGACAGGCTTTGCTGGATATGTTTTGCTTGAAAACTCGTAACAACAATAACAACAACAAATCATTAATAATGTATTAATTTATTATTAATAATAATAAAGAATTATCAAAATTATTTAATAATTATTAATAATAATGAATTATCACTTAGTAAGCCAACCCAATTAGATAATTAATTAATTAATAATCAATAATACTTATGAACTAAACTCGTAACAACAATAACAACAACAAATAATTAATAATGTATTAATTTATTATTATTAATAATAAAGAAAACAACAAGGAAATCTTTAATGTTTTAATTTATTATTATTAATAACAAAGAATTATCAAAATTATTTAATAATTAATAATAATAATGAATTATCACTCAGTAAGCCAACACAATTAGATAATTAATTAATTAATAATCAATAATACATCTGAACTATCAAAATTTCCAATAGATCATTCATACTAATGATCTGTTACAAATTATCATATTTAATTGATAAATAATAGTAACTATGAATAATTAGCTGACACAATTAGATAATTTATCAATTAATAATCAATAATACTTCTGAACTATCAAAATTTCCAATAGATCATTAATACTAATGATCTGTTATGAATTATCATATTCAATTAATAAATAATACTAACTATGAATAATAAGCCAACACAATCAGATAATTAATTAATATAATCAATAATACTTCTGAACTATCAAAATTTCCAATAGAACATTAATACTAATAATCTGTTATGAATTATCATAATTAGTTAATAAATAATACTAACTATGAATAATAAGCCAACACAATTAGATAACTAATTAATAAATAATCAATAACACTTATGAACTATCAAATAATCAATAATACTTCTGAACTATCAAAATTTCCAATAGATCATTCATACTAATGATCTATTATGAATTATCAAAATTAATTAATAAATAATACTAACTATGAATAATAAGCCGACACAATTAGATAATTAATTAATTAATAATCAATAACACTTATGAACTATCAAATAATCAATAATACTTCTGAACTATCAAAATTTCCAATAGATCATTAATACTAATGATCTGTTATGAATTACCATATTTAATTAATCAATAATACTAACTATGAATAATAAGCCGACACAATTAGATAACTAATTAATTAATAATCAATAATACTTCTGAACTATCAAATAATCAATAATACTTCTGAACTATCAAAATTTCCAATAGATCATTAATACTAATGATCTATTATGAATTATCATATTTAATTAATAAATAATACTAACTATGAATAATAAGCCGACACAATTAGATAACTAATTAATTAATAATCAATAATACTTATGAACTATCAAATAATCAATAATACTTCTGAACTATCAAAATTTCCAGTAGATCATTAATACTAATGATCCGTTATGAATTATCATAATTAATTAATAAATAATGCTAACTATGAATAAGACAACACAATTAGATAATTAATAATCAATAATACTTCTGAACTATCAAAATTTCCAATAGATAATTAATACTAATGATCTGTTATGAATTATATTTAATTAATTAATAATACTAACTATGAATAATAAGCCAACACAATTAGATAATTAATTAATTAATAATCAATAATACTTCTGAACTATCAAAATTTCCAATAGATCATTCATACGAATGATCTGTTATGAATTATCATATTTAATCAATTAATTAATAAATTATCATATGTAATTAATAAATAATACTAACTATGAATAATAAACCGACACAATTAGATAATTAATTAATTAGTAATCAATAATACTTCTGAACTATCAAAATTTCCAATAGATCGTTAATACTAATGATCTATTATGAATTATCATATTTAATCAATTAATTAATAATACTAACTATGAAGTATCACTAATAATACTAATATATATAATTTGCATTAATGGGACAATTGCACTGCAAAGGGTCAAAAGTGGGATGCAAGAATGGGGAAATGCGCATGCGCAGCGGTGCCTCCTGCTCTTGCCATGACGTCACCCGCGTTCTAATTCCCACGGTTGCTACGGGAGACTCACTCTTTCTCTCTGACTCCGCCTCTTTTCCCTCTCCGAACGGGAGGGGGAGGAGGAAGAAGGATATCCCCGCCCACTTATTCGTACTGCTCTTTCTATTGGATGGAAGCGCCGCCCTTCAGACGCTCCACGCGTTGCTATTGGCTGAGGCTCTTCCTCTCCTTTTCCCTCTCCCCCCTCCCGCCTCTTGATCTCTGCATCTCCCTTGTTGCTCCATCTAGCAGCCCAGCGCCTGCAAAAAGCTATTGTCTGTCCGGATCCCTTGCTTCTGGCAGCCTCTCCTTTTCCAGGTCTGTGGATTCAAAGAAGTTAGTTGGAAGAGAGCCTGGAGGTTTGGGTAAGGCTGGCTTGCTCAAGTTCCTAGTCCTCATTGAGGTCTGAATAGAGTTTGGAGGCTTCAAGGCAAGGATCTGGGAGGCAGAGCAAGAAAGGCTGGCCTGTGGCTTCACAGGGACTGGCCAGGCTGGAGATTGACCAGGTTTTGGGGCTGCACAGGTGCAGGGCCAGGTGAGGCAGGTAGAGTAAGACAGGTAGGGGAGAAGGAGGAATTAAAGTAGAATATGGCCAGGTAGGTAGAAGAAGGCAGGAAGGACAGGGCAGGGAAGTAAAGGTAGAACAGGTAGGTTAGGACAGGTAGCTAAGGTAAGACAGGGCCAGGTATATTATTGTTATTATTATTGATAGGGCAGGTAGGTAGAGTAAGACAGGTAGGGGAGAAGGAGGAATTAAAGTAGAATATGGCCAGGTAGGTAGAAGAAGGCAGGAAGGACAGGGCAGAGAAGAAAGGTAGGACAGGTAGGTTAGGACAGGTAGCTAAGGTAAGACAGGGCCAGGTATATTATTATTATTATTATTATTATTGATAGGGCAGGTAGGTAGAGTAAGACAGAAAAGTTAGTGCAGGGAAGTAAGGTAGAACAGGTAGGTTAGGACAGGTAGGTTAGGACAGGTAGCTAAGGTAAAACAGGGCCAGGTATATTATTATTATTATTATTATTATTATTATTATTATTATTGATAGGGCAGGTAGGTAGAGTAAGACAGAAAAGTTAGTGCAGGGAAGTAAGGTAGAACAGGTAGATTAGGACAGGTAGGTTAGGACAGGTAGATTAGGACAGGTAGGTTAGGACAGGTAGCTAAGGTAAAACAGGGCCAGGTATATTATTGTTATTATTATTGATAGGGCAGGTAGGTAGAGTAAGACAGAAAAGTTAGTGCAGGGAAGTAAGGTAGAACAGGTAGGTTAGGACAGGTAGGTTAGGACAGGTAGCTAAGGTAAAACAGGGCCAGGTATATTATTATTATTATTATTATTATTATTATTATTGATAGGGCAGGTAGGTAGAGTAAGACAGAAAAGTTAGTGCAGGGAAGTAAGGTAGAACAGGTAGATTAGGACAGGTAGGTTAGGACAGGTAGCTAAGGTAAGACAGGGCCAGGTATATTATTATTATTATTATTGATAGGGCAGGTAGGTAGAGTAAGACAGAAAAGTTAGTGCAGGGAAGGAAGGTAGGACAGGTAGATTAGGACAGGTAGCTAAGGTAAAACAGGGATATAAGGGCCAGGTGTAGTATTATTATTATTAATAATAATAAGGCAGGTAGGTAGAGTAGGAAAGGGAAGTAATTTAGGATAGGGAGGTAAGGGTCAGGTAAATAATAATAATACAAAAGGGCCAGGTAGGTACAATAGGACAGGGAGGTAAGGATAGGCAGGTAAGGGCCAGGTAAATAAATATAATAATAATAATAATAATAATAATAATAATAATATAAGGGTCAGGTGGGTAGAGAAAGACATGTTAGTAAGTTAGGACAGGTAGGCAAGGGGCCAGGTAAATAATAATAGTAGTAATAGCACTAGTAATAGAGCCAGGTGGGTAGAGCAATAAATAAATAAGTAGTAGTAGTAGTAGTAGTAGTAATAAGGCTAGGTGAGTAGAGCAAGACATATAAGTAAGTAGGTAAGTTAGGACAGGTAGGTAAGGGGCCAGGTAAATAATAGTAGTAGTAATAGTAGCAATAGAACCAGGTGAGTAGAGCAAGAAAATAATAATAATAATAATAATAATAATAATAATAATAGTCCTAAACACTTGGGAAGTGTTCGATTGGTGATTTTGTGATACGAAATCCAGTATATATCTCTTGTTTGCTGTGTTTTTGTGTCAGTAAACTATAATAATAATAATAATAATAGGGCCAGGTGGGTCGAACAAGACATGTAAGTTAGGACAGAGAGGTAAGGGGCCAGATAAATAATAATAGTAATAATAATAACAATTATAGAGCCAGGTGATTAGAGCCAGACACGTGGGTAAGTTAGGACAGGGAGGCAAGGGCCCGGTAAATAAATAAATAAAATAATTATAATAATTGTAGAGCTAGGTGGGTAGAGTAAGGCATGTAGGTAAGGTAGGACAGAGAGGTAAAATCCAGGTAAATAAATAAATAATGCCAGGTGGGTATAGCAAGACATGTAGGTAAGATAAGACAGGTAGGTAAGGTAGGACAGGTTGGTAAGGACAGATCTGCCCCAGGATTTTGGAGATACCTATGTACCCAGAAGGCTGCTTCTTCTGTGAATTCAGGTGTGCTGCTTAGGTGTTCCTAAGGGATGAATAAGTGATTCTGTGTATCAGGTTCCTCTCGAAAGAGTGAGTTCCACAACGTGGGGAGTGTTTAGGTCCAAGGCAGCCAGGATTTGGGGTGAGTGACAGCGAGTCCGGCAGGGATCACCTGTGAAGAGAGCACCTGCCGTCCCGCCTTGGGTCAGGGCCACGGTCATGTCCTAGAGCTGTACCTGCCTGGCCGATGCCCCACCTGTGCCAGCGAGGATGACCCCAGAAGAAGAGAGCCCCCCGGGAGGCGAAGGAGACGGGGAGAGCGACGACAACGGGGTCCCCCTCCATTTGCAGCCTTCCGAAAGCTATGGCAGCCTACGCAAGGTGAGGCCAAAGGTGGGGTGAGGTGTGACACAAGGTTAAGGTGAACATTGGTGTAGTTTCTTACCTGCCAGGGTGGACATTAGGAACAACTTGCACTGCCCACTGCGATTTTTGTGTGTGATTAAGTTACTGTGATCTTCTATTGTTTGGTGTGTTCATTTGTATTGTTGTCTGTATTTATTTTTTATTTTCATTATATTTTGCCGTCTATGTTGTATATTTGCTCTGTTGTACTGTTGGGCTTGGCCTCATGTAAGCTTGGCCTCAGGGCGGATTACAATGCACATATACACGGCAAACATTCAATGCCATTTAGACATACAACATATATAGACAGACACGGAGGCAATTTAACATTCCAGCTTTTCCAGCTTCCTGAGGGTATGCTCAGTTCTGTCCACAGGGGGAGCTGCTGCTTCACCGTCCACTTGTGACACCGGGTCCTTTGCTGTAGTACTTCCTCATTCTTCTGCATGCTGCTGGAAGGTTTTATGGCATCGTAAATTAGTTAAATTAACCTCCCCGCACAAATTGGTACCTAAGTTTCCTACTTGACAGATACAACTGTCTTTTGGGCTACATAGGTCGTCAGCAGGCTAGACTATTAATAGTCGGAAGCTTACTCCGACCCGGGCTGGCTTCGAACTCATGACCTCTCAATCAGTAGTGATTTAATGCAGCTGGATACTAACTAGCTGCGCCATAGCCCGGTCCCTGGTGTTTTAGAATCATAGAATCAAAGAGTTGGAAGAGACCTCATGGGCCATCCAGTCCAACCCCATTCTGCCAAGAAGCAGGAATATTGCATTCAAATCACCCCTGACAGATGGCCATCCAGCCTGTTTAAAAGCTTCCAAAGAAGGAGCCTCCACCACACTCCGGGGCAGAGAGTTCCACTGCTGAACGGTCCTCACAGTCAGGAAGTTCTTCCACAAGTTCAGATGAAATCTCCTCTCCTGTAGTTTGAAGCCATTGTTCCGCATCCTAGTCTCCAAGGAAGCAGAAAACAAGCTTGCTCCCTCCTCCCTGTGGCTTCCTCTCACATATTTATACATGGCTATCATATCTCCTCTCAGCCTTCTCTTCTTCAGGCTAAACATGCCCAGCTCCTTAAGCCGCTCCTCATAGGGCTTGTTCTCCAGACCCTTGATGAGATCTTCTTACACTTTTCCCACTTACGACCTCTTTCTGTGTGAGAAATGTTAACTTGAGCCCAAGTATATAGGTATATAATAAAACAGGTATAAAAATCAAACATTTACTGATACTTAGTACTGATATTATTATTATTATTATTATTATTATATTTGCAGCTGCAAGGGTACTCAATGCTAATCAAGCTGGCCAATTGCAATATTCACACTTGCTTTATGTTTTTATTACTTCTGTTTGTTTTTGTACTATGTATTAATGTTTTATGATGTTCTTGGGCATCAAATCGTTGCCTCTGTAAACTGCCCTGAGTTGCCTGAGGGCTGAGAAGGGTGGTATACAAATATAGTAAATAAATAATGAATTAATGGCTTTAAACAGGCAAGGGTTCTTTCTCCCACCCTGGACGTTATTCCAAAGGTATATGTACATTCCACTTACCTCATATCCAACAGAACCTCTGAAGATTCCATTAGCCACCAATGCAGGTGAAACATCAGAAGAGAATGATGCTCGAACATGGTCATTCAGCGCGAAAAACCCACAGCAACCCATTAGGAATATCAATCCTATTGTTACAGGCTGAGCATCCCATATCTGAAACAGGACCAGAAGTGTGCTGTGTTTTGGATTTATTATTATTATAAACCTCAGAATCCTCTAGCTTTTGGAAGTTGTAGTCCAAAACTTCGCTCTTCCATGTGGCATCTCAGAAAAGAGCCTTAGAAGGGACCCATAGAGTCATTAGAGAGAAGACTGGAATAGTAATAATAATAATAATAATAATAATAATAATAATAATAATAATAATAATACATGTCATAAGATATACTGCTGGAATCATAAACTGGATGCAGGCAGAACTGGACAATTTGGACAGAAAAACAAGAAAACTCATGACCATTCCCAATTCATTACATCCTCGCAGTGATGTTGACTGGCTCTATCTGCCTAGAAAGTCTGGTGGCAGAGGACTTTTACAAGTCAAACATGCAGTTGAAGAAGAACAACACGATGCCCTGGCAGAATATGTCAAGGAAAGCCAAGCACCTGCTTTAATTGAAGTCAATAATCGGAAACTTCTCAAAGCACAGCAGACAAAGAGTTAGTACAAGAAAACTGCACTCCAAACCAGAGCCGACAGCTGGCACAACAAAGTATTGCATGGGCAGTTCCTTGACAAAATTGAAGGAAAAGTTGACAAGGAGAAGACCTGGTTATGGCTCATGAATGGAACCCTGAAGAAGGAGACAGAAGGCCTGATTCTTGCAGCCCAGGAGCAAGCCATCAGAACCAATGCAATTAAGGCCAGGATTGAAAAATCAGCAGATGACCCAAAATGCAGACTGTGCAAGGAAGCTGATGAAACCATGGACCATCTCCTCAGCTGTTGCAAGAAAATTCACAGACGGACTACAAACAGAGGCACAACTCTGTGGCCCAAATGATTCACTGGAACTTATGTCACAAGTACCACCTGCCAGCAGTAAAGAATTGGTGGGATCATAAACCTGCAAAGGTAGTGGAAAATGAACATGCAAAAATACTGTGGGACTTTCGAATCCAGACTGACAAAGTTTTGGAACACAACACGCCACACATCATGATTGTGGAAAAGAAAAAAGTCTGGATTATTGATGTTGCATTGAGGAAAAACAACAGGAAAAACTCAGCCGCTATCAAGACCTCAATCGAACTGCAAAGGCTCTGGCATCAACCAGTCCAGGTGGTCCCAGTGGTCATTGGCGCACTAGGTGCCGTGCCAAAAGATCTCAGCTGGCATTTGGAAACAATAAACATCGACAAAATTATGATCTGTCAACTGCAAAAGGCCACCTTGCTTGGATCTGCGCGCATCATTCAAAAATACATCACACAGTCCTAGACGCTTGGGAAGTGTTCGACTTGTGATTTTGTGATACGAAATCCAGCATATAGATCTCATTTGCTGTGACATACTGTGCTTTTGTGCCAGTAAAATAATAATAATAATATGATGCCCCGTCCCCATTCTTTTGTAGGCTGCTCTGTTCCCAAAGTTAAGCCATCCTTGCAAAAGCAAACCTCCCGCAGTTCTTCCCTCCGCTGCCTCTGATCCTTTTCCAAGCTGGCTTGAACTAATGCTTTCTGCTGGAGTTGTTGTTTTCTTTTTTTCCTTTTCCCAACCCGCGGGCTGCATGACGGCCGGGTTTTTTGGCAGCTCTCGGTGTCTGCTATTGCAACCCAGACCAGGCCAGAAAAATCACGTAGACTCACTTTCCAAAGGGACGTTTTTCTGGATCCGACTTGTTGGAGAAACTCTACATCCTTTTAGCACTTTCTGCCAGGAAGATGTACACTTTTTGCAAGACTGTTCTGTCGCGCGCTGGGCCTGTAACAGCTGTACTTTTCTATAGGACGTATCCTTTAAGCCCAGCGGGAAGCCAGGGGCGCCTCAAAGAGAGGTTCTCAGGGATTTTTCTGAAGTGATGGTATTTAGAGTCTTTAATGATACAACAAAGTCTTTATTATGGAACAAACAACAAATCTTCAATGGTTCAAACAACACTTCAAGGCTTTCTTAGTCTAGTCCTCAATGGACTGGCACCTGACTTTGATGAACTAAACTTTCTCTGTAGGAAAAACCCTTTTTAACCTCTCCCAGGCTGCTTTCTATCTATGCCTTATTGGTGTGGGACCTACTACCGATTCCAAGTGCGTCTGGGTATCGAGTAGATCTACCAGCCGAGGCTTGTAGATATTTCAGCTGGAGTTCCGTGGATCTGTAATGCTGTTCTCCCTCAGAGAATTATTTGAAACTTCAGGGCCGTTCCCTCTGATGCTGTGAGGCTGTGAGCTCTCAGCCAGAGCTTTTGGGACCTTTCTCCTGGAATTTCTGCTTCTGTACCCCCAGATGTTACTTTTTCCCTGGATGCTCCTTTTTTCCTGGATGGTTATTGAGAAAGGAAGCTTTTCTACGGGAGGAGCTGGTCTACGTCCTATAGCTTAGCTACCTTGTGTGAGACTGCCCAAAAATGGCTCCTTTCCCTCCCAGAGCCCAGAACAAGGGGCGGAACCAAAGCTTAATTATGATGGACAGGAGGCCTGTCCTATGACTGCAAAACAGATAACAGAAAGAAAATGAAGTTGGAGCCCCTGGTACAGCCGTACCAACACAAAGACTTTAAAGAAATTTCAATAAACTTAATGAAAGACTGAGGGTCATTCCATGAGCAAGAATAATATATCATACTAGCTAAACCCAGCCACGCTTTGCTGTGGCTCAGGTTCATTGGAACACGCAAACCCTCTCACCACGACAAGGTGATAATCCATCGAGGGGGATTAAAGTGCTCTTCCAGCAGACACCAGCCAATCCGTCTGCAATGCTAGAAATACAGCTTAGTGGTGTAACATTAGAAAATGTGGACCATTTTGGCAGCTACCTCTCCGCAAAAGTCAACATTGACACTGAAATACACCGCCTGAGCTCTGCAAGTGCAGCATTCTTCCGAATGAAGCAGAGAGTGTTTGAGGACCGGGACATCCGTAGGGAGACCAGGGTGCTTGTTTATAAAGCTATTGCCCTAGGTTTAAAAGGGATATGTAGAAAAAATGGGAAAAATGAGATATCACCAAAGGAATAGCCAACATATGTAGGGAGACTGAAAAGCCAATGCACAGAATGAGCTCAGGTTTGCTAAATAAGAAAATACTTTTTGGTTATGTCCGTAGCAGAAGAAAGAAGAAGGAAATGGTAGGGCTGCTGTGTGCAGGGGACAGTGAAATGTAAACAGAAGACAGAGAAAAGACAGAACTCCTCAACACCTTCTTTGCCTCTGTCTTCTCCCAAAAGGAAATGTGTGTTC